TCAAGATTGTTGAAAATTGGAAATTTATCACACAAACTCCTTAAGAGCAATTTAAACACACATCCCTGTACCTTTTATTTCTAATTACGCATACGCGCTCTTTTCCGGTTTCCTGATCGAACAACAATTAATTTCAGTGCCAGTGACTGTACAGAAGACGTTGGTTAGCTTCATTTCATTACGACGTCGATCAACTTCACCGTTCGATTTACTTGTCTGCAGTACTATTAGAGCTCCATTTCCCATAATTACCGTAAATTAGACTTGCAATCAAGTGTCATTGCTCTAATGTTGGTTAATGACTAAACAATTAATATGCAGTTACACGGTCATCCCAGGTGACCTGCTTGTCTATTAGTTCACCTAGTAAACCGTAACATTTGTTACCGTTTAAAATAGGGGTTGATGGATCTAATTGAGAATTTTGTTGTTGGAGTTCAACATTTATTTCGTAGTGTAGGTACATCACTTGACTGTACCTACTTATTTATTTTCTGTACACAGTGTGATTGAACAAAATTAGCGCAAGAAAGGGAATTTTAAATAAAATATAGGACAATTTTTGCAAAACTTTCCAGTGGTGCGTTCCAGAAAGAAACTCATTAAACTGCTTCTACAGCGTTAGAGAGCTATCTCTTTTTCTTGTTCACTCGAAGATCTTAAGTAAAAAAGTATTTTATCGAATTTGTATTTTGTTCAGTATAGGAAAATTGATACACGTACCGCTTCATAGCGAACGTGAACGTAAGTATGTCTGGTGATAACAAGAAACGTATTACGCAAAACGAGCGCACACAATACCTAAAAGTTCGAGTCAAAACGTACTATAATGGGTGCGTTAAAAATAATTATATTGGAACACTAATTAGCGAGGGATGACACTGTATACTGTACGTGCAAAATTTTTCTACAGGTGAAGATTTATTATAAGTTGACAGTGAATTGCGGGGCGAAGAAAAAAAACTCTGTCGCAGCCTGATTCGTAGCAACGTCGTTCATTTATAAGTGATAAAGGCAAACGATAATTTCAGGAACGACTTAAAAATAAAAAAACAGAGATTTTTTTTGGAATTTTGGAACAGTATCGGCTGGTTAAGAGCAATGCATTATGTGATAAATAAAATTTTGCTACAAAGGCATATGTAAGGGATTTGAAGACAATTAATCGGTACGTTGATCGCAACAAAAAATCTAACTAATAAATTGGGCAAAAATCAGTGTCAGTTGCATCATTAGCCATTTCTGAAGGGTGCAGAATTCTGCCAATTCTAACCTGACAGGAATCTCATCCACATCAATTACTAAAAATTTTTGAATTATATAAGGTAGTGGTCGATTATTTTTAGGAATTTGCATAAATAATTTTGTTTGGAGTAATTTTAATAGTCCTAAAGGAATCGACCCGTGAAAACCATTTAACGGATTTTGTGTTGCACTTATTGATAAGAATTAAATTCAAAGAAAGGAATCTAGTCATTTTTGTTCATTGAATTTTGCATTTAATTTCAGTAATACTGTAGCGAATAGTCTAGAAATCCCGATAGACATCGAGGCGCCATGAAAGATCTTTCCTGGAAATATGATGTGTTTTGTTCTAGAATGTTCGAGAATATTCGGGACCACTCGTGTTTGCTATATAAGCAAATCGAATTGCGTTTCAGGACAGTTCCAATTTCAACGCCGAAGTAATAATAGTTATAAACTGTGTATATGTCCGCGATAAATAATATGTTCAATGTTATAAATCAATTCATATCAAAACTGTTCTAAATTTAATGTTAATTAATATTATATAAATAAATAAATTACATATACAGGGTACATTTTGTATGAAACACTGGATATATGTTCAAAACAACATTTTTTTAAAAGAAGCTTTTCATGGTATCCAAAATTACAAACAATTGGCTACCAATCTACGTGCTTTAAATTTGTAATCAGTGGTGTCCTTCTGCATGCTCACGGGAGGCATATTTTTTTAATGGCAATTACTAGTTTCGTTACAGATTATTAAAGAGCACACTTTACTATTAAACAATGAATCTTTTTAGCGCATTTTTGAAAATTGACTTCGGTATTCTGTCGTATCGGATTTTTATTTATCACTCACTTGCACTCAAATTAATCAATTTGCATATATGGCAAACGAAAACTTCTAGAACATCCTCCAATAAACACTTCATATTTCTCGGAAAGAAGACGCTTTCATTCCTTATCGCCGATGACCAATCCTTTATCGGCTTGATGGCGACCTGGTGGCGCCCCGATGTCCCTCTGGAAGATTCGCTACAGTCGCTAAGTTGGATACATAAAGCAACTAACGGGTCTCTATATGACGTATCCGCCGAAGTTACGATCTTTTGTTTTAGACCCTTAAATCCCAGGAACTCATCGTAAAATGTAAGTGCGAACATCTTTGAAAGATCTTTTGCTGGTTTCGAAGACTCTTGATTCACTTATTAACTATCCTGGAGATTGTTTATAATTTTGTACTATCCAATCCAACACGAGATCCAACACATGTTCTTCGGGATATAAGAAAGAGAACTATTGCTTTTCAGCCACGGTAGACCAACGGGACAAAAAGTTACAGCCCAAAAACTGCTCAAACCTCAAAAAAAGGTTTATAACTCTTGTTACAAAGAACATATGAATATGCCCGGGTTTCTGTGTTAATAATATATTCCTTAAACCTCAGGCAGATATTATTATACCCTGTATTATACCATGGGCAGATACAACAAAATATTGCGCATGCGCATTCCAACTTTTGTATTTGCGCAATCTCATCTATAAACTAATGCCGAATCAAAAAATTTGTTTTGCGCATGCGCAGTCGGTTTTTTAAAAATTGATGTAAGGTATATAGGCATCTGAAATAAAAGTAAAACTAATGCCGATTCAAAAAATTTGTTTTACAAGTCATGCTGATATGGTGGGACAGAATGAACTCCTTAAGATAAATTGCATTTTTTGCATGGCCACCTCGTTATTACTTACGTAAATTACACACAACTTATTTATTTAAGATTTTTATATTAAGATTATATTATTTAGATTAAGATATTTCGAAAACTATCAGATAGCTATAGGACATTATTATTAAAAGTTGAAGGAGAAGCTAAAAGATGACAGAAAAATATACATGGTGTTCCATTTAAAAAAAGTGAGATTTTTAATATAAAATTTTGCAACTTTTGACCTACAAAAAAAACACCCTGTAAGCTATTTTTTAATGTTTCATAGTAGATGTATTTATTTGACTTTTACTCGCCGGGATAAAAGATATAGAACCTGGAATCAAAATTTAAGCAATAATTTTGACAATATACTGGCGCTTGCAAATTAAAAAATGCATTCAAATACAGGGGGTTCCATTTTAAAAAATGTACCATTTTGGCGCCCTACTTTGTGAGCGCCCCCTGTATAATTAAAAATATTTTTAAAATGTGGAGAATAATCAGCCATATCGTAATACAAAAGCATTCAATCGAAAAATCTTATCTTCAAGGCATTAAGTTAAGCGAAATCATTGACTCACCCTGTACATCGCTTTCAGTCAGATTTATGATAAATGAACAAGTTCTATTAACATACTGTTATTTTGAGCATTTCCCTATTTATCTAAGTGTATATTTTTCCACATAATAATTAGAATAAAAATAAGGGAATTTATTGGTGCAATGGAATAAAGGAGGTTTGGTGCTGCAAACTAAGCCGCCTATAGGAAATATAAACCCTAATAATAATATATACCCTCTTACTAAGACTATTTTTACATAACTTCTATTCTTTCTACTTTTTAGGTAGATTTCTATCTGTAATGGTACCAGTATATTTATAAGTTTATAGATTATATCACTTCCAAGAAACACTCTAACTTCCGTAATTAATGAACCGATTTGGACCAAACTTTAAGGGTTGTCGTAATTCATAAATATCTCGGTCAAATTCGTGAATCAGCCAATTCCGCCATATTGGAACAAAATGGCGGACACTTTTATATGTTAATCCGGTTAAAGAAATCTACCTACACCTGATCGGGCGAGCCGAGAGGGATTTTTTGATATTCCACACAAATATAAAGCAACAACTTTTCATTGCATTTTTGGACCTTTGCACTGTTGCCACGTTCGCGAAAGTCATACGTCAAAATTGACATCGTCAAGCTAAAAGTAACAAGTACGAGAAATGCAAACCGTATCGCGCTATAATTCTTAAGATATCATCGAAAACAAGCATTTTGCAACACCCTGTACATTTAAAATCATTCGTAAAACTGCTCTCCAAAAAAAAATATTTCATCCATCGAACTGCAACAAGCCCAAATTGCTGGATCGATTTCGCGAAATATCCTAAACGGGCAGGTTATGGGCCCAGCAGACGCAAATACGAATTTGGTAAATTCTAATTTCTCAGTGCGATAAAATATAGGTCGTATATTTTGTACTTCTAGTATAATGTTGGTTTCAATTAGTGACCCTGGGACAGTTAAATGCAAATGTCCAACTTGTACTTTGGATAGTGGGTAGTTCAAACAACTACTATAAAATGATGACGTCGATTCGCGATTGTGCCGAAATGCAACAATTTTGTTTTTACTGTAACGTTAACTGCTACATTGACCTACACACCCAATCAAACTTTGGCCCACGCCGCAGCTGTAACGAATTAATAATGGAACAATTACCAAAATATAAACAATATCCCGTAGTGACTAAGTGACGTTTCCTAAAACATTAAAACTGTCACCTGAAGCCGGAAATAGAGCGATTTAAAAAAATTAGTTGACAATTACACGAATTTATTTAACTGTACCCCTCATTAGAAGGTACTCAGTATTCAACGGGTGTCCTCCGCAAAATGCTGAGTGCATTACAATTACAATTCGACATTCGGCGCCCATGTGGCAGAAAAATAATGAAAGTGATCGCGTTCTTGCAGACCTTGCGATGCACTTTTTTTTGTTACAGCTCGAGAATGATTTAAAAGAATCTTACCAAAATAGCAGCAAACTTCATGACGACGTCTCTTTTGTGCGGAACTTTACGCGAACTAAGTCTAAAACAAGACTAAATCCTAAATCCTTGATCCACCTGTACTGTAGTAGAAGTAGATGGAAACTTGAAAGAATTAAGTGGGGGAGGTATGCAGGTTACGTCATCAACGAAGCCTGTTTCTTGCTTTGGTCGAGTTTGAAGTGAAGAGGTTGTTGGCACTCATGCGTGCTGTGCTGTTTTTATTGCAGTTTGTTCGTTTTTTCCTGACTTATCTGGCTCAGTCAAAACGATGCATATAAGCTTAGATTTGCTTGTACAGGGGAACTTCATTTAATTTTATAATATTGTATAAATTATATAGGTACCTACGTACAGATCTATCGAGAGGGTAATTGCATTATTAGTCTTGATAAAACGAAGATGTTTTTTTCCACCGTTGTGCAACCCCCCATAAGTTGCACTACTAATTCACGTGGGTCGTGGACAGGAAGTTTTTGTAAAATGGAAAAGGATGTTTCTAATTATCAATACTATTATACAGGGTCACTAGTAAAGATGGAACCAAATCTCACCGGTGTCAAGTTAGTCCCCCACTTTTGAAATTTTCAGAATATTTTTATTGGAATGGTTTGTAGTCGTTTGTTGGTGTTTGTTAGTTACATGTTGTTTGGTGTTTGTTGGTTGACGGTTATTTAATTATTCAAATTTCAAAATTTGGGCGTATAGTTAGCTCCTCACTTTTTGAATGTTCAAAATATTTTCACTTCACCAATAGATATGTCCCGTCCAGTCGATAAACCGTTTTCGAGATATTGGCTCTTAAAATTTTGAAATCACCAATGATACCTATCTTTCTTCCAGACGTCCCAATAGCCCTTTGTGAGTAACCTCTTCTGACAAACCGTTCTGGAGTTGAGACCTTTCATTGGAGTACCATGAAGGATAAAACCAGTTCCGCTACCCCCCCCCCCCAACCCACTCTTTTGGTAAGGAGTCAGAAAATCAGCAGTAGTTTAGTTGGTATAGAAAACGGTCCCTTTCGTTGAGACTTGAGACCATGAATGATAACATTTTTCTAACCCCCCCCCCCCCTCTCAAACCCCGCCGCCCACTGATTTAGAAAAGAGTCGCGCGGGAAAGTTATAGTTTGTACAAACCGATTTATTTCAAATGAGACCTTTCATTAGAATACCATGCCCCCCCCCCATTGGCACCACAAAAGGCATGCGTATGCAAAATCTGGTTGTCGTATGTAAAAGCTATGCACGTTTTACTTTCAAAAACAGCATCTCGGGAAATAATTCATGGGGGCCCCCATTTACGACATCGAAATTTGATGGCCGCCAGGCACACCTTCAAGGTGTAGGCTACCTATTGCAAAAAATTCAAGGACTCTAGAAACATTCCACTAGAAGTAGTTCAAAACGGCAGAAGTGGGTCCGGCCGGACGGACGCAAACAATAGCACATTTTTTTTTAATTCTTAAAAAAAATGCGTTAAAAACAGCCAACAAACCCCAACAAACGACCAACCAACGTATGCAAACAAAAAAAATTCAAAAATTTTAATGTTGGGAGCTAACTTCGCGCCCAAAACAAAACAAAATTTATTATGAAGATGCTATCAACCAACAAACGGTAAAGAATACCCAACAAACGACCAACAAACGATTACAACTTTAAAAAAATGAAATATTGCCACTTGGGGGGGCTAACTATACGCCCACATTTTTGAATTTTGAATAGTTCAATAATGATCAATGAACAAAGGTGAAAATGTAACTAACAAACACCAATAAACGACCAACAAACGATTGCAAAAAATATTTTGAAAATTCAGAAATTGGCGGGGCAACTATACGCCTAAATTTTGAAATTTGAATATTTAAATAATGGTCAACCAACAAACGTCAACATGTAACTAATAAACACTAACAAATTACCAACAATCGATTGCAATAAAAATATTTTGAAAATTCCAAAAGTGGCGTGCTAACTATACTCCCAAATTTTTGAATTTTGAATAATTCAATAACGATCAACCAAATAACGTGAAAATGTAACCAACAAATACGAACAAACGATTGCAATAATCATATTTTGAAAATTCCAAAAGTGGGGGGCTACTATACTCCCAAATTAAATTTTGAATAATTCAATAACGATCAACCAAAAAACGTGAAAACGTAACCAACAAACACCAACAAACGATTGCAATAAACATATTTTGAACATTCCAAAAGTGGGGGGCTAACTATAGGTACTCCCAAATTTTTGAATTTTGAATAATTCAATAACGATCAACCAAAAAACGTGAAAATGTAACCAACAAACACCAACAAACGATTGCAATAAACATATTTTGAAAATTCAAAAAGTGGGAGCTAGCCTAAATTTTGAATTTTGAATAACGGTCTACCAACAAACGTCCAAATGTGGAGAAGGGGGGGGGGGGGGCTAACTTTTCTTGAAAATTGCGTTAGTTTTAATTCCACACTCGCTGTTTGTCGATAAATTGTATTTTTATTTTTCCTTAAAACAAATATGCATTCATGACATGACATCGTACAACACATAATATCTCCGTTGTTGCCAAATCTAAAATAAATCAGTGGCGCACGTTAAAAGTTCAACAACTTGACACCGGTCCAAAACTCTCACGCTTAATCCGTTTCAGAATTGAGCTATAGACATGAAAATTAATAAGCTTCCATTTGCAATTATTTCACATATTTTGAGGGTTTTGAGTGCGATTGCCATTTTGAATTTTTTTAAATGGCAACATGGGGCATGTGATACGTCATTAGAGGGCTTATTTTTTTTCTTTCTTACTTAATTAATCATAAATGGTGTTAAATTAGAAAATAATGGACAAAAAAACTGTCAAATCGTCCGTATTTCAGTCCAGATTTATTTCGCACGTAATATGCACTGCGTTTTTGTCACTTATTAAACACCTGGTCCGGTTTTTTTGTTAATTTTTCACGTTCTGTTAATTCACAGGTATCTTAATTTAAAGTACAATACTTTAGCCAGCCAAGCGTATGGTATAAGGGTTTTTTAATTTTTCTGTATTATTTTCTAGTATAACACCAAAGCTAAGAAAGAAAAAATAAAGCGGTGATGACTTGCGTAACGCATCATAGGGATTTTAATGTAAAATTCATAACATGCGATTATTGGCTCCCCAAATTATTTTAGAGCAAAAACGTATTAAAGTTTTTTGTAGAAAAAATTTTTTTAAGTCAATCAACCGTATTAGTTTTCAATTTTTTGCGTAATAAAGACGGAAAGTTGGAAAAATAAAACCCGCATCTTTTTCAATAATCTGTGATGTCATGGAATTTTATAATGCAAAAACTACACCAATATCCGTCATGCCACGGAATGTCTGCTATAAAACAAATCAAATTTCATATGTCCAGGGGCGTAGGAACCGGAGGGGCAGAGGGGTCAGCCCCCCCCCCCCCAACCCACCCATATTTTATAGTGGGAGATCAAACACTGTATTTTGACACCCCCCCCCCCCCCAACATTCAGTAGTATTTTTTAAATTTCTATGTGACATTAATATTCTAACTAATTTAATTATTTTATTAATTCTCGGGGAAGTATGAATCTGCCTTTACACGACAAAACTAATATTTTATGAATACAAAATTTGTGCTGTTCAGACGGCCATTTACTCACAGTACCGAGGGTATGCGAAAAAGAAAATTATTTTGAATTAATAATTGTTGAAAATTATTGGTAGGTAGTGCTGCTTGAAATTGAATTGAATTTTGAGAATGAATATTTACTTTTTACCTTGAATTACTATTTTTAGCGCACTTTCCAAATAGAAAATGAACACTATTGTCCGTCAGTCAGTCGGTCTGTCCATCTGTACCACTACCACTCCAAGTCCACTCGGTGCAGTTTGAATTGATTTGCAAAAATGATATGCTATCGGAATGATTTGCTTTAAAGAGTGAACCTTTTAACCAATTTCTTCCATTGTAACTTATATGAAAGGATTAATTAACTCCTTCTCTTATAATTGACTCATTCTTTTTTATTAAAATGTTCCAAAGAAAGTTACAGTCGTTTTAGGCGGGTATTAAATTGGTTACTATGGCTAAATGGTGCCATAAATGTTGGTTATGTGAGTAACAGACCTAGTTTGAACTATGCCTATTATAATCTGCTGTGGGGTCAATAGAATCTCCAACTTAGTTCTGTGAAACGCTGTTCATTTCAATCCCTTAATGCCAGTTCTCGTAGTTAATGGATCCCGAGTACTCTCATGTATGCCTTGGCTCGTTAAAACGAAATTAAAAGGGCACAGTCAACGAAAAAGATGTGAGCATAATGCTCCTGGTCCGTAAATAGACCTTTTTGCTAGGCAGGGTGCTTGATATCGAAAAGCGTGGTTGTTTGAAGTCGTCTAGTAGCAGAAAAGCACAAGTCGCCAAGTTGCGAATACAGCAGTGAATCGGAACCTTGAGCTATTACTTGTAACAAAAAGTCGTCTCAAGAACCGTATTCACGAAGGGCCATTTCTGCAAATGCTTCTTACTTTGAGATGCCCCAACCATAGCAACGTCCTGTGAATATTATTGTCGATACGAAGCACCCTATACATCATCTTAGTTGCACAAGCTGCCAACTGAAATCTTGTGGGAATACAGAAAAGGGAAAGAGAGCGAAGATGAGACGGATGGAATTTCTTGGAACACCACAATATGTGTTTACAATTTCAAACACCTGCAGTCCACTTTTTTCCTAGAAATGCGTGAAATGCAGGGAATGGGTGATTTTCGGGTGGTGTTTAGGGGTATTAGCAGATCAAATTACAGCGTGGCTTGGGGTGGTCAATAAATAGGATTTAACATGTGTGTTCATGGTCTTTTCTTGTAACCGGCTGAAGTGTAAAGTACGGCATGTCTTAACATATTTTGTTATATCTTAATCATTGCTGTGTGCTTTTGCTTTTTTATATCAGGTGAGGTATTTGCTTTATTCAATTAATTTATAAATGTGTGTAACTTGAATGTAGATTTTAACCCTTTACTTATGTACTTACTGGATTCAATTACTTGTACCTCTAATGTGTAACCTTTGTTGGTATTGGCAATCATGTTTCATTGTCGGTAGG